TCTTCAATGCAATATTTTTCTAAAATTCTCTAAGCGGAACCAAATGTACCATTCAATTTTTCCACTTTTTAGAAAACTGAAATTTATGCATATGAGTCAAATTTGGCTACAAAAATATGATTGTTTTGACGAGAGACAATTCCAGTGAACTTATGGTGGAGAGTTTCGTTCGACTGAAAGACACTAACAGCAAGAACCGAGAATGTTATTATTTACTGGACCTCAGTGAATAATTTTTGGCTTTTTTAATTCCAGTAGCGATTCAATTCTGAGCAAACATAAATATTCTGCGATCAACTTTCTAAATCGAAGTAACATTAATTACACAACCAAATTTAGCAAATAAATTAGAAATTTTACCTCACGTAAGGAAACCACAATGCCTGATCAATAAGTAACGTATTTAAACTAACGATTTTAAGTATTAGGGCTAAAAATAAAAAAAAATATCCGTTATTACGGGACGGACTATGAAGGATGTCATATATAATTAATTATAGTGATCAATTTCCCTTTACAGAGCACGGCTGATTCAAGCATGCTACATCGTTTTCAGTTTTGTTATTCGACGATTAAATACAGTCTTAGATCCGGGGCAAGATTCCCTGAAGATCTTTCATCAGTTACATATTAAAGAGTGTTTTAATCATGAGAGTATAACGATGAATTCGACGTTGCGGTTTCAGCAGCAATAATTTTCCAGCCATTTGAATTCGAAACTTGCTTAGCTAAAAATTGCAGCTGCTATTCGGTTAGATGATAGATGATTACAGAACCGAAGAATAGCATCACCGCAATCAATACTCAATGCCGCTTGAATTCATGAGCCGAACAATAACAGCATCGCAATTATTAATCAATGATGCCTGAATTATCATTTGCACGCTTTTAGCTTCCAGCACAGCAACCAATTCTTCTTTCAGACAGCAATTAATGGCAAGTTGCCGAAGCCCGGAAAAAGTTGGTAATTAGTTGCCAAGGTAACTCGGCAGCAGCTGCTAGCGAATGCTTCTAAACATGCAAACATTATTAACGGTCCTTGAAAAAACACTCATTTCCGGGAGGTAGCTGATGATATCATCTCTCTTTGAAATTTAATTTGGAATAAACAGAATTAGACTCATTTTTAGCGCATTTTCTCATTCACGTGCGCATCATATCTGTCCGTCAGTCTGTCCTTCTGTCTTTCCATCTGTCTGTCCTTCTGTCTGTCCGTCCGTAACTTCAAGTTTTCGTCGACGAGAAAATGCGCTCTCTGTCACTCAATGCAGTGGGTACCAAGTTATATATATATATAATATATATATTTTTTAGGGACGGCTGTGTATGCAATTATTTCCCCCTTCAAAATCATCACCACGTTTGTACATTATCAGGTTCATATTCTGCATTGAATAATAAGGCTGATAACGAAGAAAAATAGTAAAAAACAAAATTTGTTACATCTTGTCCCTATACATTGTTTGGAGACTTGATAATGGTAATTTTCAGAGTTTCGGACTTCTCCTGGTCGAATTTCCGCAGGTCCGGCCTCGTTAATCGTGACGAGTGAGACAACAGATGTCGTATTGATCGCTGGGATCACTGAGGTCACTCCTGCCGTCTTCTTATTGTGTGCCTGGCCTCAAGTAATATAACAGAAAATTTCTGAAAAATTTCATTTGAATCTATGTTAACCTGAAAGTGGTCATTAATATAGTTTCCTTTCCTTGACTTGCGTACGCTCGTGGCACAGGACAAAAAGTTACTTGTAAATTAATTGAAATCAAACAATTTTGACCAAGATTACTTTATTAAAAAATTTACAAAGAATAAGTTATCTATTCCCATACTCAAATGCTTCTAAGCTCCTCTATGCCTCAATGAATTGATTTATAATTTAAAATAAAATTCTTGACGCAGTTGCAGCTGTCACGCGTCATGCGTGCGTGGAGCTATTTTCTGCCGCGTTCGCCCATTCAAAAGCCCCTTTGTGAGCACATTTTTTTCCGAAAGCGATATCATTGCGTCTTAAACTCTAATAATAGCCTTAATAGGGTAGTTAGATCCCATTAACCCAGCAAATAATGATCAGACGTTTAGGCAAGTAGGGCTATAGTTATTCATATTCAGGCGACATTAATTTATTTTCTCGATTAAATCAAAATTTGAATAAAAAATTTTAGTTTGTTTTCAAATGTAACCTTCATGTATATTTCCTCGATGGTTGCATTTATTTAATCCTGCAAAATTTTACGGTACCGAATCATTCCACAGTATATCAATTTTTTAAATATCTTCATTTTATATAAGAAACTGTTTAAATACTATAGAGAGAATTACCAATTTGATTTAATCATTCACCAAATATATGTCCCCCATGTGTGTGGATTAATGTCAATTTTTTTAAATTCAAATTTATCCTTCAATCTATCTTTTCAATCAGCCAAAAATCAATGAATATTACGAGGGTACACATAATATATTTCTTCATACCCCTGACACATAAATTATAGTCTTTGCCGTTCTCATGTCCCTGGCGAGACTCTTCGCATTTTTAAAAACCTATATCATTATTTATACCTATTCAAATCGACATAGCAATTTGTCATAATTGACTGTTTATTGCTAATGAAAACATTCAACAACAGATTTTGACAAACTCTCTACAATAAACCTTACTCAATCCAAAAGACGGTTAAACCGCAATTAAAAACGCAGATGACTATTCCGTAATCTTGAGTGAAATTCATCCATTTGAGCTCGGAATTCCTTCATCTTGTTTCGTAACGACGCTCCTGCCAACAAACAGCAGCAAATGCCTAGGATTAAAGGGTAGGAGTAGCCACCTCATTTCTCTTTACGACGCCCAACAAAGCAACAAACTCCGACATGGACCTGAGCACCAGAAACAACGCTTGTCTTTGGATTAAGATTTACGGCCAACCATTGTGGGCCATAATTTGGACCTTACCGAGGAGCATGAAGCAGCGGAACATGCTTGTATTCTGAGAAACGAACTGCAATGAAGCTAGACCCAGAATTCCATTCTGTGGGCTCTTGCTTCTATTAAAATTGAGCCAAAAAGTCGGGAAGGATTAGTAGAACCAGAGTATTTCTAGGGTTATCGTAGTCGGTAAGTTTGCCTATAATCTATATGAATAAAAATTAAGACCAATAGCTATAGCTCGCTTCATTAATATTTTGAAAGAGCCAACAAAAAAAATCTGAAATGGAAGAGCCAACAAAAAAATCTGAAATGACTCGTCTTTTATCCGCAGACTAGTTACATGTCAAGAGTTTTGAAATTATTTGAATTTTTATTAAATAAATTATTATTATAACCGGAGTTTCCCTGCAGCCTATACAAAACTCATTCTTTCAAAGTTTAGTTGAAAGGATTTATTTCCCAATTCGTGTACAGTTAAAAATTTAAAGAAGCCTTTTTTTTCATAAAAAATTGCGTAGACTAGACGAAGACCAGAAAATTTGCAAGATGCAAGCAACTAAACTATTGTGGTCGCATGATATGATGCCAATCATTGCGAGGCGTCTTCCTTTACTGAGCCTCGTATCATCGTAGAGAGCAGAATAAACTTGCGACGACCGAGAATATGCATAAATAGTTCTCTGCTTCAAAACCTTGGTTGGTTGAACCCATTCTATTGTAAGTTAAGATCTCTTAAACGACTGAGAATTTTGATCAAAGAGCTCGCAAGCCCTGCACATAGAATTATTGGATTCTATAGAGATAAAATTTTGGAATATTTTAGAGATTAAATTCCACAAAGTTACTCAAATACGAGTTTTTCAACTGAGTTTTTTGAGTCAATGAACTCTCGTTGATGACCTGCTATCTGAAGGGCATTCTGATGAATTGTCTCTCTCTCGTAGACAGAATTTTTTATGCAATAAAGTTTTGACAGAAACTATATTGAACATCAAAAATATTCTTGGCTTCGGTCAAAATGTTTTAGTTCTGAAGGAGAACGTAGTTTGTTTTGCACGCAGAAATCCACGAGACATTCTTCAACCTTTTGTCTTCAAACAAGCACAGTCGCAATGCAATTTTAATATAGAAATAATAGAATAAATGTTTTTGGATAAATATTTTCCGATGATAATTTTATTTTTTGTCAGAGGAAGTTGTAGGCATTTTGTCTCGATAAATCAAGTTCAGAAACGAAAGCATTCAACGGAAGAAACGACGCCTGAAATTTGATTACAACACAAGTATCCCAAAGCAGGACTAATAAATTCTGGTGTGTTTGACATCGTCGCAATCAAGCGAGTTTGGGTGGTTAAAAAAGATTTTTCACGTTTCCGAGCGAGTTGATCAGCAGTCTTTTGCAGTTGAGCACTATTGCCTGATGACCAGCACTTTCGTGCTGCATTGGACAGAAATTGTCAGAATTCATGAAGAGGAGAATATTAATTCCCTATTTTGAATCTCATATTTCAAGGCGATAACTCCAAGCTTATCAATTCAGCAGAAAAAAGTATTATCGATATAACTCAGGTTCCACATGTTATTCAGCTGCTTAGCGAAGACAACACAAGCAATTTCAACAGGTGAGGCACAGGTGAGGCACACCATTTGCACACAGTTTTTTATTTCAACACTTGATTAAATTTATGGCAAATAACTAGATGAGCGTTTTATCTCATTATCTGTATTTGTTGAGATTGTGTTATTCCTCTTCCTTGAGATTATTCGTACGAACCTCAGGTTAAAAAAAATAGATCTCTCCGACAACAATTGAGGGTATGTTTTAAAATCATATTGCATTTTTTATAAATAATTCTTCAACTGTAATAACCTCCTGGTGAAGCATTAATATACTTTTTGTGAGAAGCTTTCCCTTGAAGCCTACATGTTATTAAAAAGTTTAAATATATTGACCTCCCCAGCGTTCGAATTGGTTGTATCCTATAATTAACAATACAGCGAATCAAAACTTCTATGCTACTCGTAATTAGTTCTGAGTTTTATACTCAATTGTTAATCAATTGATACTCACGACCATGTTGACGACCGGAGTAGCCATAGCCATGGCTATTAGCCACACCATGATGACAGAGCGCCTGCAGTTCTTCATGGTGCACACAGAGCGACTTCGCATTGGAAAAACAATCACGATGAACCTGGAAAATTGGAATGGAAGATCAGATTTAGATGTTTTGAATTTGGTCTTGCCATACAGGTTTTAAATATCGATGCTTGACGAACGCTGTTTGTAAACTTCTCTCTGTATATCTGCATAAGCGTTTGCTCCTGGGCAGCTGCCAATTAAGTGACGGTACTTAGGATTATCATTTACATTTTCATTACTGAAATAACTGCATCATTTTCTCGAAACATATAGTTTGGGCAAACTTAGCATTAACCAAAATTTTACAATAATTTGTGAGAAATACCACTGAAATTTATCGGTAAAGCGCCGTGGCGTATTGGTTTTGATAGGTAAATGCCCTCGCTAGAGCTTCGATCGAACACCGATGGGGTCCCATTGCGTGTCTAATACAAGGCGATAGCTACTCGGGAAATTGAAATATTCTTGCCCTGATAACTGGCCTTCACCATCGACGGTGATTTGATACCCCGCCGCTGACTAAGTCTTGTAATCAATCTATTAAAAAATGCGACTTACATCAACGTTTTTTACTCCAATCCCTTATCGTAAACCATACGTTGCACTTATTAACCACAGAGCTATTGAACACTACCTTCAAAGTGTGAGTCTTTCGATTGCATGTACAAAATAAAATTTATGGCGACGTTCACTCAACCCACAGAGACTCACTTAACATGCGGACAACCCTAAAAATTTCTCAAATATTCATGTAATGCAATGTGCTATTCATTGAATGCTTGAACAAATAAAAAATCATAACGTTTCACAAAAAACTGTTTTATGATCTCGATTATGCAGAGCACATTAGTCTTTCTGTAGCTTTCAGAATTATAAATGATTCTGTAAACTAGCCTGACGAAATCCAAATACGTAGGAGAATATTTATTTGGAAAATCGAGGTTTTGAATTAAATTTGAAGTCAAATAAGTAAATTTCAGTTCTTAAGGTAAATTTTAGCATCTTTCAAGAAATTCCAACTCGTGTTGAAACTTCAATGTACCCTAAATCATTACTACACAACAGTTCTTCGAAGGTTTAGCGATAAATTTGATCGGAATTCAACAACCTCGAATTGACTGCTCATGGCGTTATTCTGATCCTTGTCGACTGAAGTGACTTCTCATCGATATGCGATCAAAAAACTACCGTACACCGCACTTAAATATCACCACGCTCAGTTCTTATATTAGAATTATGGATGTAATCATTTAAATTCCAATTAAATCTGTCAAGTTTAACACACATTAATTTTTTTTCTTAATTATAATTATTTTATTTCTCAAGTTTCACTTACAAACTGTACCTTTCAAGGCTCACTGCTGTGAGGTTCAGCACGCTGGCAGAAAATGAAAGCATGTGGATGTAGCTTTGTATGGTACAAGAAGGGCTGCCGAAGTCCAGCATGATTGCGAACATGCCCAGGATTTCAATCGGCACTCCGAAGATGAGCATGATGAGGTCCGCCACCGACAACGAACACAGGAACATGTTCGTGTTAGTCCGGGTCTTTTGATCTGCAAATATTGTGCGGAAGGAAGACTCAATTAAATAAAATGACTGAATGAAGACTCAATAAAATAAAATGACTGAAGGAAAACTCACTACAATAAAATGACTGAAGGAAGACTCATTTCAATAAAATGACAGAAGGAATACTCAATAAAATAAAATGACTGAAAGAAGATCCAATAAAATCNCTTGAAGTACTCATAAAAGGCAGCTATTACATTTAGTAATATAAAATTTAAACATGAGAAAATTATGCGCGAATGCTTGAGTTCAAGAAATACTGCAGAGTTGCATTAACTAAATTAAATATCAACAATTAAATTCTACCTTAGTCATGCGTCCATGTATTTTCTATCATTAGCTATTAATTATGAACGTTAACATGCAGTAAACTTGTTCACTGTAATTTCAATCCAATCAAAGTCTAGGATCAAATGCACGCTAATACCGCTTGAGGGAAGGTTATTTTCAATGGATTGTTACTCGATAATATTCATGTCATGCGCTCGTTCCCAGTAACGGATGTACATTCTCGGAATTAAGCAGCAAGTTCGTGATAATTTTGGAACAATAGACATCACTTCAGTGAATATCTTCAATGAGAAGGGAAGTACGAGATATTTATTGAATGGCAACCATGTGTAGAAACAGTGGTTAGTCGTAATGCTTGAATGTGTGACAGAACTGGGCTGTCGAAATCTTTTGAATATATTATAAATTCTTCGAAATTCTGATGTTGTTAAGTAAACCATCAGCAATAATTTGTGTTGAGGCAAATTTTTTATAGAAATTTACAATATTACAATTTGTTCACGTTTTAATAAAACGATGTTTTAATGTTATGCGATGGCCCAGAGATTCATGACCATGTCAACCAACGATCTTACGTAACCATGTTATGTGAATTTTATGTTCAGCAGGTAATTAGATAAATTTGCTTAGCAAGTAATTAGAAATTGTGGCCATAATAACAGTGGCGGAAATGCACCCCAAATTTCGATTATATTTTCACCGGCTAAGCAAATATTATACTGGTATGGCCTATAGAAAGGCAAAGACACATAATTTTATCTATTGAGTTCGTTTAAAAACGAGTATACCTTTTATAGTCAAATAGAAACAACTAGTTAGCCTCGTTTAGAATCATAAATTAACCTAAAAATAGTAACAAACACAGGCATAGCCAATTCGTAAGCATTTTTTACATTACATTTTCCTAAATTGTTTCTTTTAAACTAGGCACTGACAAACAAATAAACGACATTTAATATAGATGGATGCCAGTACACTAAAAATTATCAATTATAACAGAATATTTAAAGTATTTATCATTGATTTTAGTAGAATAATCCAGTTTGATATTATTTTTAATTTCGCATAGTGTATGAAATTATTGGGGGTCGCAGATCAGAGGCTTGAGTGCGAAGGCATGCGTTTTAAGAAATTCCAGAGGGCCCAACAAAAGTGTCATCGCGCTGCACCGGACGTGAGAAGATTCCAGTATTGGCTCAGGATGGCTCCCAACTGCATTGCGAATTTAAAGCTAAATGACAATCCGTGCAAGAAAAGCCAAATTTGATTTTCTCCTATACTGCGTTGGCACGCCAAAGCTTTTAAAGGATTCGTCCTCCTGAGAATCAGGATAACCGGCTTACAGCACTGACCGTGAAGAACTAGGATCAAATATTTGCACTGGATGATTCTTGCTTGGACAGCGAGAATGTGGGTCCAAGCAAGAATTTATGGAGGCTCACACTTCATAAAAAAAATTCTGCTTGCTTCGGAAGGCGACAATCTTTGTGTTAAAAATTTTAAAATTGTAGATTAAATGTTAAATGTAACAACAAAACTACGGCACTGAGTCTTCTAAAGTAATGATAGTCGTCAATCCACACACAAAAAAAAACATTTTTACTATTCGCTAATCTCCGCCTAATAATATTGATCTTCGTTTTTCTGAATCATCAAAACTAAAGCCTGAGTCATAATATCAAAACATAATTCATAATTGAACCATTTCAGTCATTTCTTACATTTATTTTGGCTAAAATCAGTTCGACATTTTCGCGAGCATTAACTATCTTTGATTTCGGTGGAAAGGTGTGAATATACCAAAATGTGATGCGTTTTTGTTAGGGTTCTCTACGATTTTTTCTGCACGAGAAAACATTCACGAAAATGAATGGTAATTCACCTCTACAATTTTACTCTCCAAATTTCAGTAGATAAAAATTTGCTCCTTTTTTAAAATAATTTTGTGTGAATTTTGTTGTCGTTGCGTCCAACAAAAATTTCTCAGCGAGCACTTGAAACACAAAGGCCGACTTCGTTAGAGTTCAAGATGCTCTCACGCTAGCAGGGCATAAATGAAATATCTCGGGACTCTTTTTATTATTATACAAATGTGAAGACAGAATCAGGGCTTGGAAGTAAAATTGAGAGAGTTCGGGGTTTTTATTGTGCCCACTACATAATATTATACTTAGGTGCAGTTAAAAATATTAAAATTTTAAATTAATCGTTCAGATGAAGTTTAAACGTTTGTGTTGAAGTTGGATCTCGAAAACTTTGGATCAGTCTCTTTTGATTGTATGTATCGAAGAAACTAACTAATGAAATAATATTAGCCAAAATTGGGTTAAATTTATAATGCATACTGAAAATAAATAGGAGATGATTTGACGCCTATTCTAAATTTTTGTCGTGTCGGGATAATAAAAATGTATTTTAAAATATTTTGTTGTATATTGTCTAATACTCTGTGCTCAGTTTTTGACATAGGTCAGAGGATACTAGATGAAAACATTTTTATTCTGTGATAGGGTCAGATTGCAATCTAATTAGGTCATTACGGAGCGTTTTCGTTGTAAGAAACCTGTTACTGGACATCGTATTTACTCCAATTTTCAACGAGTTAATAATCAAATCCTCCCAGCAAGATAATTTCAGTGAATAAAATGAATGATTCCTGGGAAAATTTTTGTCTAATGCCTTACCTTTTTTTCTAACACAGAGTATCTTTCACTGCAATCCAATTGTGTCGATAAAGGTTTTAGGAAATTTACATTTCACGCTTGCAAAATAAATTCCTCTTGAATGAGGCAATCTAAATTCAATTCTTAAAGGTCTAGATATTCCCCCAATAAAAGAAAAACACTAGCAGCTTCCTTTTAGTTTGCTATGCAGCTATCACAACAAACAAGCAAGGCTCAAAATAATTTGTGAATAAATACCATTATTAATAAACTGAATCGCTACAGTACATAATCGCGGTCCTTTTTAGCGCATTTTCTCATTTATAAAAAAATTCACTATTGTGCTCGCCATGTCTGTCTGTCCGTACGTCTGTCCGTCCGTCTGTCCGTCCGTCTGTCCGTCTGTCTGTCCGTCCGTGACTTCACGTTTTCGTCGACGAGAAAATGTGCTCTCTGTCACTCACTGCAGTGGGTACTGAGTTATATTTTTTAGACAATATTTTCACAACAATTTGCATACCTATTAAATACAAAGAGAAACTAGAGCTTAAATTTACAACTAATTTTATCATTCTTGTCAACTAGACCTTCTTTGACAAGAAAAAAATTTGCCGATTTTAGATTGCAGTGCTAAATTTACCTTGAGTAAACCCCAAGGGAAATTTACTAATTTCTAAAATATAAATTAAATTTTTTTTTTAATTTTTTAAATTAAGAAGTGAGTTACTATTATTAGCAGTGTTATGTAATTTCGTCCAACATTAAAAAATGTTTTTTTTTGTTAGATGTCAGCTTGTTTCCATGGACAATTTTTATTTCGCGTCAGCAAACTCTTATTGATTTCATTGATATTGAGATTTGTATCAAGAAATTTTGCTTTTAATGATGACGTATCTGTGCACTTTTCTCCATCGCTCACTTTTATTTATGAAGTAAATAGATAAATATAAACAAAATTGAACTTTTTCATCACTGAATTTCTATTATTTTGAAGTTCCGCTTAATATTTAAAAATTTACGGAAAGCGTTATATCAACTGAACAAATTTTTAATTGATATTCCATGCGAGTATTGTTTGTTAGTACCAACGTTTATCAGGAAGCAAGGCTACGCGTCATGGCCTAGGGCGCTAGTTTCCCAAATCGTAAACCAGAAAGTAATCATGAAAAGTTCATTCACCCTTTTATGATGTCGGCAATTTGTGCTGACAATTTGATCTTGTCAAAGGGGATTTTCATCCTGGATTAACTTTGTTGCAAATTGTAACATCGGAGCGCGAATATTGTGATATTCGGAGCTTGGATATTGGTAATCTTCAGATTGGAATAGTTCCAAATTTGTATAGTTTTTCATTTAATTTAAGTAAAATATATATGCATTTATTATATATTATTAGTTTTCTCATATATATCATAATATATATTAATTTTTGTTTTAATAATTATTAATGAAAATGTATACTGTAGGATTCTCCTGAATAATGAATCAAATACTGATTGAATGCATTCAGACAACTCATATGAAAGATTTTAGATACTACTTTGGATTTAATTAATCGAATATAGCTTTTTAAAAGTAATTGAAAATAAATTTGACTCTGAGAATGATTTTTTGCGTCCTGATCAAATGTTAATATTTTCTGTTCAGTTTTTAGTTGAATTTAGTCAGATTTGCATTAATCACTAAACTGGATGCACGGCACAACGTATCTTATGCTCGTTAGCGGCAACGTTATGATTTTGCAATTTTAGACCACTTTTTTCCCAATTAAATGCAATGAGATGAATTTGAAAAAAGGCAAGGTTTACATCACGGTCTAAGATTTGTTTCAATTAATTCAGAAACTTCAAGGTTTTCATCCAAGAATATTTGCATGTATCTTCTTTTACTCGACAGATGCGTTAATAAGTGTTTCAACAGAATTCATTTGGTTCACCTGGTCATGCTCCCAACTGAAACCTGAACATTAATTGTGTTTATCACAGCACTTCTTTCAACGTTCTAAAACAATATTCTTCTGTAGATAGAAATTTGAAGCAATACTGCTGACTGACATGCTTTGATAAAACTTTTTGGCCGCTTAATATGATGCGATCGGGAACTTATGTCAACATACATTGAAATGGTTTCAAATCGACGAAATCCACCAAGAAAATAACAGATGACAGCAATGTTGCCAGTGATGCCCAGTAGCAACGTCGCCACATACGTCAGGATGTTGGGGTAGAAGTGAGGGTTGGACTGCCGAGCAAAACAACGACAATCAAAAAAATGATTTTGAAAATAATCATCATATAAGGTAAAATGCCAAATGTGTAAATATAATTGAAAATGAAACACCGGAGTGTTGTGACAAATTCTATTTCAGATAAATCAGATATCTAATTCAGACAGCTCCTTATTTGAAAAAATTGTCGAAAAAAAAATATTTTTTATCGACAAGAAGCGAGTCGTTGTTTTGAAAATATTGTACCTGAAAGAAAGTATAGACCCTGTAGATGCACATGAAATTACTTTCAATGAGGGACTATATTATGCAGAGTGTCAGACGTTTCGTTTATATATTATATTTTCACACACACTCATAAATTATTATCACTTCATTATTCATTACCCAAATATTCTTCTTCATCACACATTGAAAAAAACTTTTGAATTCAATTGGCTGGATCGACCGAAATCTCGTGCATAAAAATATCTGTTAACTAATTCAGTACTTGCACCAAGACTTAGTATGACAGTCTTTCAATTCAATTATAGCCATAATGATGGCAGGGCAGGTTATCTGTCACGTTTAAATTCTAATTCCATGCAAGGTTTTTCACAGCTAGCTGGTTTTCAAACTTACAACTCACTGCATCAATATTGCAGTTCGTAACCACTCTGCTACTCGATCAGAGGGGAAGAAATTTTTCCTATTGTAAAATTAGATCATAGTGAATGTCATCACTAGCTACATTTATGAAGTCTCATCTGCAGAGACCTTCTCAAGAACTTGCTTGTTTACAAGGAACTGTTTACAGCAGGTGCTTCCGCGCACCCCTCTCAATGCCTGCAGTGACAGATGTTCGCTCTTATATGCGAGGAAATTATCAACAATATTGGGTTGTGAATAAGGGTTCATACGATCGCTCTTATTTAAAAATTGAATTATTTTTCAGCACACCGATTGCGAATGTTCAATATTATCTGAATATTATTTGAAATATTGGATTGCAGAATAATTCCTCGGTTGCAGTATAATTTTTTTGATCACAAAGTAATTGTGTGTGATCTACGCCCGAAGCTCTGCAGGCATTTTTAATCAAATATACTTCCTTCTTTCTCAATTTTCTCCATTAAAATGCACAAAACTCATTTGATATCATCTTAAGATAACTGATGCCAATAATAATTTAAAAGCAAAGAAAATAGCCAGCAAATTCACCATTTCTTTATATGAGAAAACGTTTGGAGTCCAGCTCAATCGACAGTTCAAAACCTATAAAACAAGCAGAATTATAGCTTCTGAACTGATTTATATCGTCTGATTGGTTTTCAACTGAAGATGGAGCTGGACTCCGAACGTTTTCTCATATAATGAAATGGTGAATTTGCTGGCTATTTTCTTTGCTTTGATACTCTTAGTGAATTTGACTTATGTCAAGAGTTTCAAGCTAATTGATTTACAATGCCTTAATTGGACACATAATTATTTGTCACTATAATGATTTATTAATTTTATCTTGCACCATTTAGAGTTGAGATTTCCACCCCTCAAAAGACCCTTAGTTAATTAATATCAAATTCTAAATCACGCGCCCCGGTATCTTTCGTGTTTTGCTTCTTAAGGAACCCTATAGTAGGTATAGAGTGATTATAGAATTGATAATGAGTTCGATTCAAGACATCCAATTAGGTGAATAGGTTATTAATAGGCATTGGGGCCGTATTTTAACATAGAGGTTCATCAATCGTTGATTCCTGATTTTAGTTTTTATTGTTTTGTGTATCAATATATGGTGTTTGTTAATTACAGTATAACCTGTTACGTGTTTACGTAATATGATCAAATTCAAATGGAACTACTATATTGTCAATAGTATGTCAATGTAAGGCCAGCAAGCCTTTGTCTTCAGTTGTACACCAGATTCCACCAACTATAGTGCACCAAATCTCTAGCCTCATCTCTGCCCATCTTCCTCCTTAGCTGGGACTCGGAAGTTATACGACCAGCGAACGTAACAGAACCTATGAATATGACACATTTCTAACCTAAACCGCCAATGCAATATATTATTGGAGACAATGCTGCGAAATGGGCCTAGAACCCACACTTCCACAGAATTGGATACCAAATGAAATTTCCAATAAAATCTTGCATTGATAATTTCTGAATAATATCCCTTTGATTAAGGATGAACTTATTTTGCTTACTCCGCAGGAAAATAACTCTCTGTTGTCGATTAAATTATTCCATATTTTATTGAATGGGATAATGGAGAAAAATATTTATTCAAATCATCAGAATTTCCTGCCATTAGCAAAATTAACTACAATGAATTAATGTATAGTCAGGAATTGTATTTTGTTCAATGTCCGTTTTTATCTCTGATATGTGAAATTATTAGCGAAAGTCCATGTTATTGGGTTTTGATTTCACTGCACTCTCTTTTTATTTTTAAATTATGAGAGGTCGCCTCTCAGGTTTAATGGCCAGGCCACGTGCATTGAGGGCTGTTGGTTCTTTATTTACGGCCCTGCAAAATTCTTGAAGGAGTATTTTGAAAATTTTAGTAGCAATATTATTGAAGAAGTCCTATAGCACAAGAGACGTTGCTGTCGACAATAAATAAAATTATTTCAACGTCAATTAGTAACGTTCGAAATATTCATTGTTAATCTATTTTGATTGTTATAATTGATTACAAATGTTCATCATAATTAAACAGCGAATATTTTGTTCGTGTGAAGCCAAAACTTAATTACAGATTTAATCTCATTACACGATTGTTCGTACGTTGGTGCACAAATTATCTCATTTTAATTTCTCATTCGTCCAATTTCCTTCACTACCAATAACTCAATCTTCACCTGAAAACAAATCGAAAATTCTACGACTGTTGTTATGTGAACCTGTCTGAAATCCGAATGTCTAACTTACTTTACATTTATTTCACATTCTTTTTGAGGTGTGAAGTATGGAGGTTTTGAATCACGGTCAGCGAGTTCTGTTCTTTTCCAAAAGCATTGTGGGGCCTCGGGATTTTTTGAAAAGTTTTATCCCCTTTGGGGCTGCGGTCTAAAAGCAATTCCAAGTAACCGTTTTTAATAAAAGAATTTTCGCGTCTGAGAATGGAACGGAATTTTTAATTCGGTGAAATCGTGGTTTTTGGTCAGTATTCCAAAGAAAAGACAACGGTTTGCTGAAAAGACATGTGCTGCTTTACAGGGTATGAGGCCAACTGCTTTAATTTGGCACATATGACAGAAATAAACGATTTTTTGAGAGTTGCATTGAAGATTGGACAATTTTATGTTTTCTTGTTTTTTACATTTAGTGACTAATAAAGTTACATCAGACAATGAGCTTAATAACTTAATTAACAACTAAATTACCTTGAAATGTTGAAAATCTGCATAGAAAATTTTCCTTAATATGTGCATTAGAAAAGTTCTCACCCCATAAGCAATACAGATATGAGAGTTAGCTCAATTTATTGTTGCGATTATTCTTAGTTGAGAGAATGCATGGAGCTGCGCGAATGTTCGACGAGCCAAGTTCTCTAACGAACGCCAGAGACGAGCTCAGCAAAGTTTTCGTGTTTGTATGCTTCTATCAAGAAGTTTTGTCCTGTTTCAATGTATTCTTGTGAGAACAGAATGCTTATTGGAGCAACAACTTCTCAAGGCAAAAGTTGCCGGCAATGCACTTGCCAAAAGCTTTTTCTACAGTGACTGATGCGCAAATTACTGCTACTGGTCTTAAGCGAATTCAGTTCTTTGAAGGATAAAAATACAAAGTTCTATTTATCACTCCTGCAGTAAGCATGAATTTTGAATGAAACCAAATCTTTCATGATTGATTCGAGAGTTCTGATCGATTCAATACAATGAAATTAGTTACAAACGTTAAGCTGCACAATGAAATTCATAATAGAATTTAAGAAATACTATAAACCCTGAGTCATGAAAAATTGCCCTTAAACCATCAGGAAACTCACCTCCCATGGCAGCCTCATGCTACTGGGTTCATTGATGAAGAGCATCTTGTTTTGGCACAACGAAGCTTCGCACTCGCATGGCAGCGCTAAATAGTTAAGGTAATCCACCCCTCCTCCTGGACCAGGCAACTGATCCTCGAGGTCCATGCCGGTATAGTTGAGTCCCTCCTCCGCCAGATGGCCAGGGAGGCTGGACTGCAACATCGTTTCTTGTTGCACTTCCGTGTACAAACTTGAGGCTCGAGCTGTTAGGTTTGATTGCATCACTTCCCATGTCATGGAATGAGGCATGGGTAGAGATTCCATTGTTTTTCATTTAATTCAGCTCTGTGGTGAAGTTCTTTAGTATATTTAGTTTTGTATATAATTATTAAACTCCCTTAAACTATAGTAAGAATATCTTTGGATATTTCCAAAACTTTTAGTCTCGGTCAATGATATGAAATATATATTGTAATATTTTTAAGGGAGAGAATGTTTCAATTAAATGTTTCTGAGTACCAAAATTACATTCAATGTGCACTTCAATATAAATTATTGTTTTCTTGTTACAACTGAACGTTTTCTTGAATGGATTTGAGAGCGTTGCTATGGCCATGTTGGTATCGACCAGAGAAGAACCTTAACGATTTTTTGAACTGTTTCTCCATGTTTCCAGGTGAATCTTCAATCTGAAAAAAAATCATAATATATTCAGTGAAAAATTACCAACTGTGGAACGTTGAATTCATCTTTCTGATGCATAAAGAGAACTTTATTTTTTCATTTTGGGAGCATTGCCCACTATAATAAATAAGTAATACAACTGTTTTGTTTGTAACAGAAACCAATTTCAATTCTGACTGACGACCAAATAAAATTTTCCGATCGATCTTAAAACCTAATAGTAAAATATTCAGATCTTATCTGGTACTCAAATAAATGTCAGGGTGAAGTTAATTCATCCTGGAAACATGATTTGAATCTGGAAATAATTTCTCGTGAAATTTGTCATATTGTTGCAACGAAAGGTAAATAAGGTTAATTATGAGCCCTTCATTCATAAATTGGATTTCCCGTTGGACTTTTGATGGCAAGATGGAATCATAATATGGTATTTTTACATCAATCAGTGTCACGGTCCTGAGATCGGAACAGACATCTGTCACTGGTTCATTAATTAACGTCCGGCGTGAATCCACGCGCATCTACATTACAATATCGAATGATAAAAAACATTGAACCGGAGAGTTCATATCCATATTGCACCAGCAGATCATGTCATCCCTGTTAATTTATTCGCATCATGTTCACCTAGGATAAAAGCATCTAACCGAATTATTCATGAAGAAATTAGTCTGTAAGTTCACGCTGTCTTACCTGGAGATCACCGATTAAATTTTGGAACGGCTGTTATGATAGAATGCTAGAATTACTTCAATACTTTTACTTAGTTAAGGGCATTTTAGGCAACTCCTCTCGATATTGTTCATAGAATCAATACATAGAGTCGTCTAAGTAGAAAAATTTTAGAAAAATTTTTTTAGAAAAAATTTTGCGAAATATAAGATCCTACATTGTGGCTTTAGCGATCGGTAAAAACTAAAATAATAGTTGCGTTATTAAAAATTGGTCTATAATTATTGCCAGAGTGAGATAGATGACGGGAACTTCAATGCAAGTAAATGCAAATCAAAGTTATATAATCAATAAATAAGCTCAAAATCAGTTATAAGATGCAACTAAATGTAACTCAAACTTCTATAAGTTCAATAAATAAGCTCAAAATCAGTTATAAAATTATTCTACAACTAAAATATTCCACTGACATGTGCCGGAATTCGCATTATTGTCAATTCTGTAAAAATTATAAAAACAGTTCATGAATAACGTAATTATTAAATTAAAAATGTAAATTTTTAACTTATTAATTATTCAACAAAATATCATCGATTTCAGAAGGCATTATCGGCGTATCTCTCACAAACGAGTAACCTTTGACTCAGCTTATTCAAGGATGGACTACATAATGTAATCGTACTGAAAACGACGATATGTCACTGCTTTCATGTTCAGATCCCTCTTACCCTCTGAAGCGTCATGTATATAAGAGTACGAGTACAATCAATAATTCATTAAATTTCTGTCGAACTGAATATAAAGCGGGTCTCTGTTGTAGAGGGCTTATTGTAAATTGTATTTTACTGTTGGAATATAAGGCTTCTATTAAATATATAGGTATTGTAAATTTGTAATTAATTAGAATTAGTAATGTAAGAATGTTTTAGAGAAAGTTGAGAATCGAGAATAGAGATTGCGGATTAGGAACGAGTAGGAACGAGACATCGACATGTGTTGTGGAACGTAGCTGTTTGAACGAAGACTGTTAATTACTTGTGTGCCACGTGAACATGTGCTACGTATCCCAGTTTTTGCAGAAAGTCTGTGGTGATGATTGATGTGCAGTAAAGTATTTTAATGATTGTTGGTTTGATCACCTGGCACCAGAACCTGCCACTATACGCACGACACCGTAACGTTATCGACAATGATATAGTGAATTTACTTGTCGTTTTCTATGCTGTTAAATACTTGTCATTGTTAACTTTTGATCTGAGGAAACTATGATAGAAATTAATATATGAAACAACAATTCCCTGTTTAATTATTTTTTTCATTTGCATATCATCTCAATATTGCTCTCCAGGAGCCCATGGCTACATATGCCTCGCCCTCGCACGTGTAATAACTTGTCCTTGAGGGGAAATCGAACTCAAACGTTTTGATTTTAGTATTAGGGAAGAAAAATACGAATTCACGTACAAAATTTTATAAATTACCATTATCACCCGGATTTTACTTGTATGTCATATACTAATTTATTATTTAATTTACAAAATTGCAAAATATTACGCACTTTAACATAGTATTTTTTATTATATGGGGTTGATTTAAAATTGCCCAAACAAATCTCCACTCAGACTCGCAGATAACATTTATGTATTAGAATTAACCAAACAACGGATTAAGTATAAAACGTATGCTGTTTTTTAAGGCCATATACTGTATATGAATGGTCACATGGGCACGGTTATCCCTTATCTGACGTACGCCTAAGATTTTTTAACGTTTTTATTTTGTAAATTATTTGTGCTTATTAACTGGAATCATCCTCAATATAGAACAGTTTTATACGAGGAAGAATCTTTATTCTTTGAATGTAAGTCTTTTCAAAGATAGATCTATTTATATAGGTTATGAATTTAGATTTCAATCTTGAAACTTTTTGATTTAGAAACAAATTTCTGCTGCTGCTCGTTTGCGTTAGACCCATGATACATTTAAGAGAGATTTTTGGCGAGCGAATTTATTAGTTGAGCTTGAATTTTTCAGTTATAACATAAGCAACAGCTGGAGCTATTCAATTCTAGCGGATAAATTGTGAAGTGACTCTGAATTGTGATAGTTTGTATTATGCTGGCTGTGTGGCAGCGCTCTCATGCTATATGGTAAAATGAAGTCCATTCTAGATTTTGTGGACGTAAAAATTGCAATTAATCGTTTCAAAATACTGGACTTATTTTCCCCAATTAAATTTTCTAACCAAAGAAATCTCATGAATGATCGATGTTCGAGTGATTTAATGTGTTCGCCCAGCCCGTCGTGATGATCCCGAGACGATTGGTTATAAATAATGAGTTTCATTACACTCTGCCGTATATATAGTCCAGAATCTCGCTGTAATAAAGTGTTGCTGCAAATTTCCCACTACTGTATGTCAGACTACGAAGTTTAAGTAGGACCGACTCTGACGTCGGTGTTGAATTGATTATAGCCGTCAGATACTATGCCGATCCCGACTTGCGCCCTGGTTCCTCTCTTATTGGATTTTGACTCAGACGCCAGGGTAAGTCGCTGCTTTGGTGGTGAAATTTAGATTGGAATACTTGATGAAATATCGTGATTTTTGTGTATATACGACTTGTCATGCGTAGACAAGGAATTTAAAAGCAAAGAAAACGCCAAGAAAATTCACCATATCGATATTGAAAACGTTTCGGAGTCCAGCTCCATCATCAGTTCGACTAAACTAAAAATGAATAAAATCACTTTAAAAGTCAAAATTCAAAGACAGACATAAAACCTAAACAAGACCTAACATTATATCGAAATAAACAGGACTAGTTATGAACAACTTAGTCCTAGGGGTACGACAAGAATATAAAATCCTAGCGATTTACTATTTCCAGATTATATG